CAAATTTGAACTCAAGTCCTCCTCACTCCAGGGCCTTCACTCCATCCATTGCCTTACTGAGGTCATAAATCTCATTAGCTCTATGAGAAATGTTTCTGAAATAATGTCGTGAATTTCTAAAATAATGAAGTGGTTTAATGAGAAATGCATATCTCTCAGATTTGGAGTAAGGGAGCTTACAAAGTTATTTTATAAAGAGTGATTTTTATCTGATAGGTTGCTTGGTTATCACTTAGGGAAATTGTGGAAGTACACTTGGGATAGTTTGTATTGAAGTTACATCTTTGAGCAAACTTAATATCAAGAGATCCTAGATTTAAAGATTTTAGTTTGCTTTAGTAGTTGATATGCAATACTTTCAGATATGACTATCTGTCAGCGTCAAGGCTTAAAATAGTCAGTATTTTTCTGGGTTTGGGGTGAACTAGAATGTATTTACTGCATGTGTGTAATCATAGAATGTGATTTTTCCATAATTTCTTATGATTATGTCTGTTCCAGCTTGGATTTAAACAAGAAATGATGAATAAAGCTTGTGTGTGTTTTGTGGTATGTGAACTATTATTACAACATGAGAAAAACAGTAATGGCTGTTTTTCTAATCCTGGATTAGTGATTTGAAGTAAAGTCTCCTGACAGTAATTTGATATTGTTCTGAGTTTTGATTTCAGGTGTGATTGTCTGAATTATCATTAAGCCAATTACCAATAATTTAAGGGAAATACAAGTGTTGCTCAAAGTGAGTGTGATCTGAGAACTGATAGAGGAAGATGTTTGTTTCTGGGAAGGTTGAGAGGACAACCTTGCAAATATAATAAGAGCTGCTTGAATCAGTTTCCTCATTGTGCTATTTCCATTCTGAACAGGAAATTTTTCTTCCTGGATAATTCAGAGTCAGGCCCTTTGAATAATCTGGAACTTTGAGGTATGGTTGGATATTCCAAAATAAAGTCTCTTACCTAGATTCAAACAAAGCTAAGGAAACTTCATGCTTATGTCAGGTCATTCTGAAGGGACAGTCTTTATATTATTATGACAATGTCCCTCCTTCCTCCTTTTACAGCAAATATTTATAACAAGGGCAAGTAAACTATAAAAGTTTATATTTACGATGAATCTCCTGTTGTTGCAATACTAAATATCTCTAAGTTACTGAGATAGGATGAAAGTATGAAAGATCTTACTGTTTTTAATTTTACTATTCTGAATTTGTGGCTATTAATGGATATACATTCATGTATAAGATTGGACCCTTAAAATATCTCATTCTTTCTGGAGGATTGGAGGATAATATATTCTCAAAGGGGAGGGAGGATAGAACAATTAGGACAAATATGTGATGTGATAAAAATGTAAAAGCTTTAAAATTAATGGAATAGTAAACTACTTTGAGAAGAAGCAATAAGATTAGATTGTTTTCTCTAAGAACTAATACACACATATATACATACATGTATATATATACATATGTATATATGTATGTATAGAATACACACATATACAATACATATGTAAATACATGTGCTTATGTGTGTGTATACACACACACACACACATATATATATATAAAATCTGTCTTTTGAATATTTGTAATAAGGACATTGATGAAAGGAAAAATATAAGGATATATCCATAAAGTTTGAACTGGTTTTCACCACATGTTCTGGTTATTATGGGATCAAATTTAAGAGGAATATCCTTTCCAGAACTACCCTGAAAATTAAGCCTATTCCACAATTTCCAAGGAAAAATGTTTCCAAGTATCAGACAGCTATGTGTGACAGCTAAGACCTAAGATGAAATAAATTGATTAAATGTAATTTAATTTGTAACCATAGTTTAATGACAGTCTGTTTAACTAACTTGTTTATTTCTCTTCTTTTTTGCATTTAATAATATTTTTCCCCAAATACATGTAAAGGTAGTTTTCAACATTCATTTTTGTAAGATTTTGAGATCCAACTTTTTCTCTCTCCCTCCCATCCCTCCCCCCTTCCCAAGACAGCAAGCAATCTGATGTAAGTTATATATATATGTACAATCAAGTTAAGCATATTTCCACATTAGTTATGTTGTGAAAGAAGAATCAGAACAACAGGGAAAAACTACGAGAAAGAAAAAAAATTTTAAAAAAGTGAAAATAGTATGCTTTGATCTGCATCCAGACTCCACAGTTCTTTTTCTGAATGTGGATAGCGTTTTCCACCATGAGTGTTTTGGAATTGTCTTAGATCATTGTATTGCTGAGGAGAGCTAAGTCTATCATAGCTGATCATTGCACAATATTGCTGTTACTATCTACAATGTTCTGCTGGTTCTGCTCACTTCACTTGGTATCAGTTCATGTAAGTCTTTCCAGGCTTTTCTGAAATCTGTCTGCTCATCATTTCTTATAGCACAATAGTATTCCATTACATTCATATACCTATACCACAAGTTGTTTAGCCATTCCCCAATTGATGGGCATCCCCTAAATTTCCAAATTTTTTTTGCCACAACAAAAAAAGCTGCTATAAGTATTTCTGTACATGTAGGTCCCTTTCCTATTTTTTATGATCTCTTTGGGATACAGATCTAGTAGACTGCTGGATCACAGTGTGGTTGCTCTTTGGGCATAGTTCCAAATTGCTCTCCAGAAAGGTTGAATTAGTTCACAACTCCACCAACAATGCATTAGTATTCCAGTTTTCCCACATCTTCTCCAACATTTTTTTCTTTTTTTTGCTGTATTAGCCAATCTGATAGGTGTGAGATGGTGCTGCAGAGTTGTTTTAATTTGTATTTCTCTATCAATAGTTATTTTGAGCATTTTTTAATATGACTATAGATAGCTTTAATTTTTTCATCTGAAAACTGCCTGTTCATATTGATGGGGTACTTGGGTGCTTGTGCTTGTACTTGGACTCCAATTTCTCCCTAGTCTCAGAAACACTGTCTCTGATAATCACTCCCCAGCCCAAGGACACTTTGCCTAGCAATTACTCATGCATGGGCCCCAGCAAGACCCTTATCTTTCTTCCTGGTGAGGCTACACAAAGCTGGGTGAGAGAGTGCTGGGATGCTCAGGCCCCAGCCCTCAGATCATGTCTCTGGAAGCCTCCCAATTTCTTAGTAAGTTCCTGTCTTGTGAGAAAGCTTTCCCTTGTTGCAGAACATTCTCTCATCAAGACAGAGAGAGGGGGGTGCCTTGCCCAGCCTTAGGACCTTTGGATTACCTAATTGGTATCCCTGGCATTCCTTTCCCTTGCCCTTTTCCATATAAACCCTAGCTCCATCCTCAGTCTTTTGCAGGTTCCTTAAGAATCCTTGCCCGCTGAAAAGTGTAACAATAAATCTTTGCCCCCTTGACTTAAAGAATACTTGAGTCTGTGAATTCATTCCAGATGACCCCATCCTGTACTCCAGTCTTTGAGGAGGTCTCAACCTCTCAGACTGCAACAATATCCTTTGACCATTTATATAATCTACATTGTTAAAGAGAATGCCCATATCCTAGAGAAGACAAAAGTGCTAGCATCTTAGAGTGTTGGTCTTAACATTAATCCCTTTTAAATCTTACCTTTTTCAATTTAGTCCATCATTCCAGTCTGTTGAAACCTTTCACTGAGAGTGTCAGTCAGTAGACCCAATCATCCAAAATTATTGCTATCTAAAGCTCAAGTATTTATTTTATCTACAGATTTGACAACACTAAATCCTTGATAAAATGTTGGGGAAAAAAAAGAATGGAGAAGAAACTCCTGTGGCAATTCATCAGCAATATACCTTTAAATGGAAATAAACTTATTGATTGCCATTCTTTGAATCCAAGCATTCAATCAGCTTTGAAAATATAGGCTGCTATACCATCTAGCTCATATATCTCCATGGAGATAGCATATCTCCATTGGAACAACCCAAAAAATTTTCACTTCAAGTCGAGGAATACTAAGTAAATGCCAAATCCTTTTGAAAATAAGTCCAGTAAACAATCAAAAATAGAATTCAAATTTATCTTGCATGACTTGATATGAATAAAGCCATGTCCTCTATATTTATGTACCTGCCCTTTACATTGGCACAGAAAGAAAAACAAGTAGCTGAGATCTATGCTCACATGCCTCTTATGATAAAGATCTAAAATAATTATTAGGGTACAATATCAGCATGAATCACCAAGTGGGACTCCAAGATGCAACTTCCCTCTGGGCTTCACTCTGAAGCCCAAATATAACCAGCCTATATGGAGGTTTATATTAGTGTCTATTTGAGGTTGAATCTTGACTTCAAGCTCTCCTTGTGTATTATAATTATTACTGTTTCATAGTTAATAAAGATTGAATTTTAAATTAATGTTTTTTTCTTTTGTGTAGGAGCCCTTTAAAGCTTAGTATGCAGTTGTGTTGTTTTTTTACTGCATTCAGATTTGAAAAACATGTATACCTCTTGTGACTACCACTTGGGAATTAGTAGATGTCAATTAGATCTCTCTCTCTCTTCCTCTCTCTCCCTCCCTCCCCCTTCCTCTCCCTCACTTTCTCTCTCTCTCTCTCCACACACACATATACCCGCACACACACACATACACACACACACAAATATGTATATATTTTCCCATAAAATTCTTTTCAAGTCCTTAATTTTTAACTGTTTATCATTCTGTTAAACTTGTCTAAGTCTGAATGGGACATATTGAGTTCTCCCAGGTTCAAATTCCCTCCCAGCTCAATATCTGTCATCCTATGATTCTATGAGTAATTGACAACATACAATCCAATTCAACAAGCATTTTTTGAGCCCCAGCAATGTGCTAAGTACTGGGGATACAGAGAACAAAATGAAACAATCACTACCGTAACATAGCTTACATTTACTGGGATCAAAGGAAAACACACAAAAATGAAATACAAAAAGTTATCTGTAGCAAGGCAAGTAGATACAATTATTTTCATATAAGAGTGCACAAGGATTGGACTGAAATCCATGTAGCCATTGAATACATATTCCTTGATCTCTCTCAATTAGGGACAGATCATGAGAGAGCAATCATTTGCCAGGACTTTCTTGGAAACACAGAAGAAGGGTGTGAGTCGTCCTGAGAAGGAAGTGCTAGGGAAAGTGTAAATTAGATATCTATTTTTCACATGATAAAATGATATCTCTCCACGTTTATAGTCAAGGAAAATGCCAATCTTTAAGTTGGGCACACTAATCTGGCGGTATTTTTTATGGACTTGGGAATAAAGATTGTGCTGGGCTATGGCATAAAGAAGGTAGCGATCATGCTTCTGTACAGTAATAAGCATAAAGAAATCTTGAGAATTTTTACAGATACCAACACACCAGCCAGTGTTATTTGGCACCTCCACCTCCCAGTAACATCTTGTTGAAATGAAGGACTGATTAGCAAGAACTTTGGCAAAATCTGCAAATCTCCCGGTGTTGTTGGACACTTCTGCCTGGACACCTCCGTATCTCATACTCTTCAAATCCTCAGATATGATGAGACCTGGATCAGCTGTGTTGCAATCCAGAGTGATGTCCACTGTGAAAAAGAGAAAGATTTGATTCAATCAACGGTAACATCAAAGCTGTATTTTTACTGGGGACGGAGGACAGGTGTTTACACCAGAGAGTTACCAACTGTGTGTTACAGTGACATTCAAAGAAGTAACTTGGAAGAGGCAGGACAGCTTCATAGTATGAGGAACAGAATGGTCTTTGGTCTGTTTGGTAGCTGAAAGATTGTGTTAGATGCTTCTTTGCAAAATCTGTTTTTTTAAATTCTGCTCACATCTTGCTGAGACTCACAAAACATAACCAATGCCAGAGCTATCACAGATCATATTTGTGATTTTCAATGTGAAATTGGAGTCATCATCATATGCTGGCTCATTTGAGGATTCTTTGAAGGCTACACAGGAGGGAGGTAAGGACTGCTCCCTTTGAGCAGGACCTTGGAAAATTGATGAGGATATTCTCTACATTTTTCTTTTCTTTTTTCTTCTATCCCCCCCTCCCTCCCTTCCCCAGCTCCCCTCTCTCTCCTCTCTCTCCCTCTTCTTGGTGGGGATGGTATGCTCCAGGAATCCCCACCACCTTTCTCTTCTCCAACTACATCATACTTTGTATTCTCTAAGCCTTCCAGTGTCTATCACTTCTAAAAAGCTTGATGACCTATTGCCCTAAATGCGAGTGTCCCTGTCACTGTGTAATGGAAGGAGACTTTGGGCATTCATTAGACTCACCTATGGATCATTCCCAGTTGGCAATGGAATCAAAACATGGTGGCAATGTTTAGATTGGTTCAGACAGGGAAAACTAGAAGAGTCTGGAGAATAAGGATGCTCTTGTGATTCTCTACAACCCCATTCATTCTTAGGAATTCAACTTTCATGCAGATGGTCCACCCCAAAATTTATCTAATGCAATCTCTGTTCTGAGATCCAGATATGCATATTCATCTGCTTGCAGGAAAACTCTGCCTTAGGATTCCACTGGTATGTGAACCTCAACATGCCTAAACCAGGTTTCATCATCTTTACCCTTATCTTTGATAACCTTGAGATAAGTCATTTAAACATGAGTTGTAAGGACGGGGAATGTTTATTTTGGGGAATGGAAGACTTAGGGGCCACATGGTAGCTATCTTCAAGTACACAAATGGTTTTCATAAGAAAGGAAGATAAAATTTTCTCTGCTTGGCCTCTGATGCTAGATCAAGGAGAAATGGTTAGAAGTTGCAAAGAGGCAAATCTAGCCTTGATGTGAGGAAACTTTCCTGGTAATGAAACAATTATGAAAAAGAATGGCCTGTGTTTGGAATTATCAGGCTTCTCTTCACTATGTATTCAAGCAGGGAGGGCTGAATAAACACTTAAACATTTTGCAGAAAGAATCATTGTTCAGGTAAAGGAAGACTATCTGATGATCCCTGAGGTTCTTTCCAACTCTGACATTTTGGCAAAATGGGTTCTGACCTAAAGGAAAATTGGACAAGACATAGAGATATGCTTCCTTTTCATTACTGATTTTCTCACCTTTGAAACTGAAAATCCTTTCTATAATTCCAGGGATGGAATGGAGCATCATGTTTATATGGAAGTTTTCTATTTCTTTCTGTAGCACAGATTCATTCCTAGAGAAAAAAAAGGTCGTTTAGGTCACCAGTTGTCAGAGGATCAATGCCACATGACACACTGTTCTAGTCAGTCAAGGTCCTTTGGATCAATTTTTTTTCTTGCTATTTTATTTCATAATGAAGTAAGACGTAACCTTACCTGGTTAACACTTCTTTCATATTCTGAGGAGAGAAAAAAAATTTATGGTTAGGACAATAATAGATATGATTTAGGAAAATGAGACTTTGGAACTGATCCCCTATTCATTGCCTTGAAGAGACCTAGAGAGTAGAAAGAATCATACAGTTTCTAGTTTTCAACATGTCACACATATATCCTTTATCTCCTCTCACCCAACCACTATCTTACTTTAGGCCCTCACCTCCTACCTAGACTATTAGTGTAACCTCCTAATTTGTCTCAATATATGGCCTGTAGTCTGCCTAGGGTTGCAGATCATCTCAGTTAAATCCCAGTGTCTCTCTACTATCTCAATAATAAAATATTGGCACTTAATGACCTTCTCTTTGGTCATTAAAACTCTTCACAACATGGCTGCAATCAATCTTTGCAGGCTCCTTTTACATTACTATCCTTCTTTCCCACTGTGTTCCAGCCTCATTTTATATTACTCTGTTTCTTTCTCTCTACATTCTAGCCTAACTATTCTCTCTGTTTCCTGGCTTATGGATAGAATATAAGATAGAGCTGAACTTATTATTATTATTTTATTTTTTCCTAGTTGCATATAAAAACAATTTTAAACATGTGTTTTTAAAACTTTGAGTTCCAAGTTCTCTCCCTTCCTCCCTCCCTACCCCACCCCACCCCCATTGAGAAGGCAAGCAATTTGATATAGGTTATACATGTGTAGTCATGCAAAACACTTCCATAATAGTTATGTTGTGAAAGAAAACATAGACCAAAAAATCAAGAGAATAAATTTTTTAAAAGTAAGCTTCAATCTGTTTTCAGACACCATCAGTTCTTTCTCTGGGGACAGATAGAATTTTTCATCTCAAGTTCTTCAGAGTTGTCTTGGATTGTTGTTTTGCTGAGGATAGCTAAGTCATTCACAACTGATCATCTTACAATATTGCTGTTACTGTGTAACAGTACATTTCACTTTGCATCAGCCCATGTAAGTCTTTCCAGGTTTTTCTGAGAGCATCCTGCTCATCATTTCTTATAGTGCAATAATATTCCATCATAATCACATACCACAATTTGTTCAGCCATTCCCCAATTGATGGGCATCCCCTCAATTTCTAATTCTTTGCCCCCAGAAAAGAGCTGCTACAAATGTTTTTGTACATATAAGATCCTTTCCTTTTTTGTTTTTATCTCTTTTGGGATACAGACCTAGTAGTGGTTTTGCTAGGTCAAAAAGTATGCCCTTTGGGCATAGTTCCAAATTGCTGTACAGAATGGTTGAATCAGTTCATAACTCTACCAACAGTGCCTTAATGTCTCATTTTTCCCACATCTCCTCCAACATTTGTCATTCACCTTTCCTATCCTATTAGCAAGTCTAATAGGCATGAGGTAGCATCTCAGAATTGTTTTAATTGGCATTTCTCCAATCAATAAAGAGTTAGAGTATTTTTTCATATGGCTATAGAGTTGAACTTATTACCCTAAGAGGTTAAAGAGGGAAAAGAGAAGAGACTAGCTTAGCCTATATATTGTGAAGGACTGGGAAAAGTCCAGAGCAGTAATGGAATAAACCACTTTACTTTCTGTTTAAGAAATATATTGTTCATCTTATCATCTCTTGATTTTAGCTTATATGTTTCTTCATCTTATTTTCTGTGGCTTTACCTGGAGCAAATCCACATCTGGTTTCTTGTCTTCCTCCTCTAACTCTGTGATCCTCTTCCTTAATTCTTGACTCTGGTTGGAAAGTCCACTTATTCTCTTCTGTAGGCCATCCAAATTGGCCCTCCCCTGTGTTTCCACATATGAGAGATACTTATCCTTTTCTTCAGTTAGGAGTAGGTCTATTTTCTGGAATTCAGACAAAATATTCTTCTTTTGAATTTCTATTTCCTCCTAAAAAAGAAAGAGATGGGGCTGATGAATACAGGAATTGACATGACACTAAGTGGGAATAGGTGAATGATAGCCTTTTTAGTTTCCAATTGGATTCTGATCTTGTTCATTCTGTGGCTGAGGTTAGCCATGGTCAGGAGGTGCCCTCTCTGTACTGTCCCCACTGCGCTACACTTAGTGCTCCAAGCACATTCTTGCCTTCTCCCATTTGAAACCACCACATTTCTTTCCATGGTGTTCTCTGCCTTCTATAATGCAAAACACAATTGATTTGAAACCTGAGGATCTGGCTATGAATGCACCTTGTGCCACTTACCAGCTATGTGCCTTTTTGGAAAAACAGTTAGCCACTCTGACCCTCAGTGTCTTAATTTGTGGGGACCAATATATTCACTACCTCTCTCAAAAGGATGCTTTGGGGGATGACAACAGACAATGCAATTCAAAAGGATCAAAATACACATACTTACCTCTACCCGTGCAAATTTAATTTTCTCATTAGCCTTCTGCTTAACAACTTTCTCAATTTTCCTCCACAAATGAATTATGGTTTCTTGGAGCCTCCTCTATAATAATAATAAATTAAAAAAGAAAAAAAAACATTAATTCTTGTATCCCTGAGAGATTTCAATTCTAAGTATCCAAACCTATACACATGTGAATGGCTGAGATCAATTAATAATGAGACAGTAATGCTCTTAGTTTTGAAGCTACAGGTACGAATTAAAACTGGAAGACCATGGTCTATGTGGGCAAGTGATTTCAATGTTCCTGTCTTTCAGAAAGCAAAATTTTGAGATATAACAGTAGTCTCTTTTTTCCTATCCTCCTGCAGAAGGAGGTAACTTTCCAGTGTCAAACACAGAGAACAAATGTTGCTGAACTTTCTTGGCCCTCTCCAGAGTAGATGAGGACATGAATGTGATACTAATTGTTGCATCAGGTGGAAATGGCCTTGAAAATCTCAAATTCCTGCAATCAATTATCTAAAAAGAACAGAGGTTCTTCCAGAACATATAACCATGAGACATTTCAATCAAAACTAGAGTAAGTTCTTGAACATTAAGGGAAAATTTCTGTTGATCTCAGTCCATAAGGAAAGGCTCAGGCTGAGGCCAAAGAACACAGCATACTTAAATTCACCAAAAGCATTTTGAGTATTTAGAGTACCCAATAATATGTAAATATGTAAATTTATCGGCACATGAAAACACCACATCTTTTTCTAGGATTACATTTGCAGTCTATAGCAAAAATTCAAAATGAACATGTGGATTGAGTAATGGATCCATTACTCACCCTAAAGTTCTCAGCAGCCTCATCTATGCAATAGAGCTTGTGAGCTTCATGCTCCTGGGATTGAGAACAGGACACACAGATGAGACTCTGATCATCCTCACAGAATAGCTTCTGCATTTTCTGATGTTTCTGACACTTGCCATATCCTTCGGGGTACTGCAAACGATGAGGTCTTAGTTGTTTTGCAATGGTTGCCAGTCTCCCAAGATGAACATTAGTTTGGAAATCCTTCAGCTGAGAGACATTCTTGCACTCTGGACAGGAAAGAGGTGTCGTGGCTTCCTGCCATCTCCTGAGGAGGCAACTGTGGCAAAAACTGTGGCCACACTCTATTGAAACTGGGTCTTTGAAGTACTCCCTGCAGATGGAGCAGATGAGTTCTTCCTGGAGGTCTTGAATCAGGTTTGGGCAAGATGCCATGTTTCTGAGGAAAATGAAGGGGAAAATTCAGTGACTTGGTCTTGAGACAGAAGTGCCCTTCTTACTTGACCACTTCTGATACATCAACTTTATCATTTCATTTAGTTCCCCCCCCCCCCACCCAGTACAGAGAGTGTGTAAAAAGAAAACAAAATTTTCACTTTATGCAGTTGGGGAAACTGAGGTGAGAAATAGGCCAGCATTTTGATTCCTTTCTGATCTCTTAAACCTCTCGACCAGCTAAGAGAACTCCAGTGAAACACTATTCTCAATGAGACTCAAAATTTTATTTAGATGAAATTTGCTATTCTCTCACCCTGACACTTGTTGATAATTTCAGTTATGATATAAATAACTTTTTCTCCCTCCTGCCATCTTTCTTCACTCTTCCTCCCCTCACTGCAATATCTTTAACCTTTTTTTTTTTTTAATGCATTTCACTTTCACACCTCAGTCATTTGGGGAAATTCTCTACTCCTTCCCCAGCAGATCTTCACTTATAAAAATGAATGAACAACCAAAACAATGGTTCTCCTAAGCCAAACAACACATAAATCATGTGTTGGAGATCCATTTTCTTAACTTTTCTTTGGGGCTCAGATTAGTAATTATAATTACAGCTTTGTTTCAACCTTTGCGTTTATATGGTTATAGTCTGTTTATACTGATTTTCCTGGTTCTGTTCATTTTAGTCTGCATTAGAGTTTATGCTTTCCTTGTTTCCCTGATGTAACAACACTGTTCCATATTATTCAATTACCACAGTTTATTATGCAATCTCCAATCTACAGATACCCACTATGTTAGAAATTTTTTGCTACCAAGAAAAATAGTTGTGATGATTTTTTTTGGCATATGTGGCACTACTTTTTCTTTCTTTAACCTCCTTAGGATATGTGAGATCTCTGGGTCAAAATGTATGGAGTCTGGACACTTAAGACCCATTTTTGAGGATAATTACAAATTGCTGTCTACCATGAATGACCCAACTCACATCTCCACCAGTAATGCCTTAGTGTATCTGTCTCTTCCCAGGCCATTCAGCACTATCTATTTCCATCTCTTCTCATCTTTGCTGATATTTGGGTGTGAGGTGAAACCTTTGAAAAATTTTTTTTTACCATTAGTGACTTCTATCATATAGGAGTTGGTGCCTTTAGAAGCATTTGCGAAATTCATAAAGGGAGGAATTTGGAATAATTAGATGGATGAGGGAAGTTATTAATCCTCCCTGCCTCCTACCCTTCTTTTTGGCTTAGCCAAATTTATTTTTCCACTTGGCCTGTGTTGTTACTGCCTAACCCATCAACATGCATTCTATCCCTTCTCTTCCTTTGCTGACTTCAAATTACTAATTCCCAAGTTTTTTTTTTAATTCATCACAAGGGAGTATGCCCCTTCACCTCTATTCACTTCATGGCTCAGGGCCCAGTGCTTACATCCCTGATAATCAAATAATATATCTCATTGGGAAACTTACCTTTATTTCTTCTGAGTTGTTTTCTTCAACCTCAGAGCTCTGCCTTTTCCTCTGCTTACAACACAAGCAGGGAATCACTGAGTCTGCCCTATCCCCTCCTTTTATATATCTCTGGAAACTTGAAGCCTCCTTTTCCTTCAAGATGTGAATTCCTGGTTATTGTCTTGACCTGAGGCTTTTGATTCACACCTTAGTAACTGCTCCTTAGTATAGCTGAGAACCAAGGCATTCAGAGACCAAGGAGTATTCATTCACACTGCTCACCTAGCCTGTTCACCTCCCTTGTCCTCAGAAAATTTAAAGTACTATTTTCTTTTCCCTTTGAAAGCTTCCTTATCAGGAAAACTGATGTACCAGGAATAGAACTGATGATTGATGATTAATGACTGGAATAATCACACTTGCTAAGAGGGAGATGGCTATGTTTATGGCATGAAAGTAGTATTATTTTACATATTTTTGCAAATCTCTTAAATGTCTGCTTTCATAGAATTCAGATGGATTCTTATATCTGCTTCTTCATTTAATCTGTTTCAATGAGTTGTTTTAGTTGAAATATGCAAATAAAACCTATGCAGATACATAATTGAAAATGGTGTTACAAAAATAAATATAAAGAACAAATCTGGAATCCAAGCTCATGGAGTTCCTTGTAATAGATGATGATTAATGGATATTTCATATCAAATTCACCTAACGGACCAAGATCCAGTATCCAGGTAATTTAATATCAATAAAGCACAAAAAGCTTTCAAAAATTCAGGTTTCCAGTAGCTGTTTGATGAAAGAGTTCAGACTCAACCACCTCAGTGAATAAACTCTATTTTCTTAATTGATGATAAGGAAACCAACATCGTGGTTTTGTATACATGTTATCTTGTAGTTTTTTCAATAAAATAGCTCAGAAACTATTTATTATATTCCAGTTTGGATCTAGATTTCTGATTTCATCATTGCTGGGAAACGCTGCTATAGATGCTCTTTCTACCCTAATGATGCAGATAGGCAACATTTTTTTTTTTTAATTTAGAGACTTTGAATGTTATTTGGTTAAGGTGATAGGTTAAGTGATTTATCAAGTCATACCAGCTAGTAAGTAGTAGAGGCAACACTAGGGTCTTTTTGACTCCCAGGCCAGTCCTCTATCCATTTCACCAACTTTCCACATTCAAATGGAGGAGTTTTGCTTTTGTTTTTGTTTCTTTTAGGGTACAGAATAAACTGGAAGATATTTAGGGTCATTTAATATTGATAATTTTAGGAAGGTTGTTGTGAATTTGGGGAAAAAATAAGTGGACTTTCATTCATGATATTTGAGACTGAGGATATTAGCAAATAGTCCTGAAAAATATCCAGGGAGCAATTTGGAACTATACTCAAAGGGATATAAGAGTATGCATACTATTTGATCCAGCTACTACTAGGTATGTATCCCAAAGAGACCATAAAAACAGGAAAAGGACCCATATGTACAAAAATATTTATAGGAGCTCTTTTTGTGATGGCAAAAAATTGGAAATTGAGAGGATGCCCATCAATTGGGGAATGGCTGAAGAAGTCGTGGTTTGTGAGAGTAATGGAATACTATTGTGATATAAGAAACAATGAGCAGATAGATTTCAGAAAAAACTTGGAAAGACTTACATGAACTGATGCTGAGTGAAGTGAGCAGAGCCAGGAGAACATTTTGTACACAGTAACAGCAACATTGTGAGATGATCAACTTTGATAGACTTAGCTCTTCTCAGCAATGCAAGGATCTAAGAAAATTCCAAAAGATTCATGGTGGAAAATGCTATCCACATCCAGAGAAAGGACTATGGAGTCTGAATGCAGATCAAAGCATACTATTTTCTCTCTTTTTTTTCTTTCTCGTGGCTTTTCCCTTTTGTTCTGATTCTTCTTTCTCAACATGACTAATGTGGAACCATGTTTAATATGATGATAAAAAAAATCCAAGGTGAAAACTGGATTACTCTAGCTTCAAAACAGGTTTTTCACTTTAGCTAAGAGATGCAGAAATCATTTTGAGATTTCCATTTTTTCATTATTTCTTTAAAACTAATCATTTACAAATTTCTTTCTAACTACCTCATTTTTTTCCAATTGATTGCTAAAATCATATTTATTTTCAAAACATCCAGTATCACTTAAATTTGTACTGGTGGGTAGTTTTCATTAAAGAATCATTATTATAAATTTGTTCTTTTTAGAAAATGTGATCAAATATAAATTAAATTTTATTTTTTATGTGGTTTATTTCAAAATACTTTGATAATATGGTATTTGGTCTGGTTATTAAACTGAAAATCTATAATTGAAAAAAATATCTAAGATGATCTTTTTGTTCTGGGGGTGGGGAACCTGCGGCCTCGAGGCCTTCTATGTCCTTTTGACTGAGTCCAAGTTTTACAAAATAAATCCTTTTATTAAGGGGGATTTGTTCTGTGAAGTATGGATTCAGTCCAAGGGCTATATTTGAGCACCTAGAGGGCCACTTGTGGCCTCAAGGCCGAAGGTTCATCATCCCTGTGACCTGGACAATGAGATAACTAAATATAACACACTGAATTCCTTAATTTTGGGACATTGTGAAAGATTTAATTGAGGACTAAAAACAAAAAGTTATTCACTGGGAGTGCTTTACATGATTGAAACCACAGGTTCAGAAAACAAACAAACCCCTAAACTTTTCTAATCCAGATACTAAAAAGATCAAGAGGCTAAGAAAGAATTCCTTTGGAATTACAAGGTACTTCACATCAGTGCTCAGGAGTACCAAAGTTTAAAGGTAAAAATGCTGGGCCTCAGTGTTGGGCTAGCTATCTGTAATTTTGTGGGCTTATTCAGAGGATTTAGAGAAGTATCACTGATTCTAGTGCTAAGTGATGTGAGATAAATCATTTTTGAAAGGAGGGTTAGTCTTGAGTTTGAGAGAAATGAACTCACACTGGGATTTAATTCAGACACATAGAGGGTCTTCAAGAGAATTGGTCTACAAGAGAATTTGATGAGAGAGTGTTAGGAGTCTAGAAAAACCTGTGTGTGGAAGAACAGATAGTGTGTTCTCCCAAATAGTGCTGAGATATAGCTATACCGGGAAGATATGCTTCAGACAGGATTTACTTAGGGATGTGTTCACAGGTGGAGAATTTCCTAGGAGGTTCAAGGAAAGGGTTTTTTTTTTGGTTTTGTTTTTTGGTTTGGTTCAGGGTTTTTGTTTGTTTGTTTTTTGGAATGATGATTCCTAATAATGTTTATAGATAGATAGGAATTGTACAGTTGCATTGTAAACTAATTGGAAACTAGTGTGGCTAATCTAAATTGTGGTTTGTATGTTTTTATAAATGCTGAAAGTATTCTAGTGATTCTCAAATTAACATTCTTTGAAATTCATTTTAAGAAAGTTAATAACATAACTTTGAATGTTACAAATAGATTTATTATTTTACAGATAAGAGAGAGAGAAAAGCATATTTGAAAGTAGTATCTGTGCAGTTTCAAGGGATTTTTTTTCCTT